TCAGTAAGCCCATTAGGATGCTTTCCAATAACATATAAAGACTGATTCAACCCACAAAGTCTCAACCTACAGATTTGAACAGAATCTCTTCTCTTCTTTTATTAACCTGAGACTGCATAATCTTTGCCATTCCCTTTCAATACTCTGTTTAATTTTTTCTTTTAGTTCCACTCTTCCCAATGATATATTTATATCTGTCTCTAAAACCGCTACCGACTCCATTGTTGATCTTCCCTTTCTAAAACCATTTTGAAATTCAGTAAAAAGTCCTTTACTTTCTAAAAAGTAAACTAATCTATTTGTTATCATTCTTTCCATAATTTTGCAAAGCACTGATGTTAATGCTATAGGCCGATATGAGCTTGGATCACTAGCATTTTTGCCTGGTTTCAAGATTTTTTATTATTATTATTTATTTTTGTTTATTTATGTTTAATGTATTATTATTATTATTATTATTATTATTTTTTGTTAAACACACATTAACAAACATACAGGAAAATGCACATGGGGAATACAAACATGTAATAAACATTAATAGAAATGGGGGATTTATAGAAATAAAAACATACAGAAACATAAAGAAAATAGACAGTAAATCTTAATCTTTATAAATAAGAAGCAAAATAAAACCACGAGGACCAAAAAATTAAACAAACATACCTGTAAACTGCTGCAGGATATCTGCAGATTTACTGGAAAATGTGATTTTGTTTGTTTAAGAACCAATAATATGAAGAAAAAAAAACTGTGAGACTTCGCTCTTTATTATTTTCCCTTAAGCCACTTTCTGTTTATTTATTCTGACCGCTGGCTTGTTTTATGTTAATCTTTTATTTATTGGTTTGGATATTTACTTATGTCTGATTATATCAAACTGCTTCATTATTTGTATAATTGTGAAATATGTGTGTGTATCTATGCTGAATACAAAATTTGGTAAACAAATTATTTTGTAATTGTTTTATTTTGTGTGTTTGTTGATGTGCTTTTATTTTCAGAATAGAATTAAAGTTAAAGTAAGCAGGATTACACATTTAACATGACAGCAGGACAGCTTCAGGTATAATAAATATAGAAAGACAATAATTAAAGGAGTAGCTAAACAGAAAGACATATTTCCATAAGTAATTCTTAACTGTATTTATTGTTTATAGATTGGACAGACTCAAAGTACTTTATAAATTAAATTATAAAAGGTTCAAATGATGCACAGGACCTCAAGAACTTGGCTCTATGAATGTGCTATTTCCCAAATAAAATGATTTGTATATATATATATTTTATTATTTTCTTAGGATAGTATCACAATCTTGGCTGTTGTGTATTGTTTATGTTGTTATCTGTTGAATGTGGAAGCCCATTTCCGCCAATGTGACGGGAAAAAATGATTCTGTAAGTCATTATAATGAGAAGCTCTCTCACAATACTAATAAGTATCTCAAAATTATAAGTTATCAAAAAGCCCTTATTTAAATGTATTTTTTTGTCCGGTGCATTTATTTATTCCTGTAATATATATCTCCTTCTCTAACCTGTGCAATATTATATTTTAACTTTATATCACATACATATAGTAATACAACCCTAATTCTATTTTCTTTTCTTGATATCTTGTATTTTTCTTCTATTTTATTTTGTTATTTAATGTATATTTATTATTTTCTTATCTGCTGTGTTACACCTGGAGCTGCTGTAAACAAGTGAATGTTAACTTATTTTGAGACATTAGGTAGAAATATTGATAAACTCTCTCATTATGTTGAGATGTCAAGTCTTAAATATAAAGAAAGTTTGTTGTTATACTGACTTAAAGACTCTTTTTTTCCGCTCACATTTGCGGAAATGGGCTTCCGTAGCTGTATAACGTAATGCTGTAATACCGAGGGAGTCCAGCGGGGGGCGCTGCGGCGGGCACTATAATACGGAAGCGCGCCTAATTCCTAAAGCAGAAGAAGAAGTTAGCCTCACTGGTTCGGGGCGGTTGCAGACGACGTGGACGCAGTTTGTGCGGGAATAAAACGCGTTTCTTTGCGGTTGTTCGGTCCAAACTACTCCACACACGAGACGATTTAATTTAACTGACACCCTCGCGCCTCGTTGTGCGGACTTTAACCGACGTTCAGACTCATCCGCGGCTCAGATTCTAACGTTGTTCAGCGGAAGGCTACCAGGCCTCGCAGCCTAACCACCGCCATGAGTTACGGGAGAGCTCCGCCAGACGTCGACGGCATGACTTCCCTCAAAGTGGACAACTTAACGTACCGGACCTCGCCGGAGACCCTCAGGCGGGTGTTCGAGAAGTACGGCCGGGTCGGGGACGTGTACATCCCCCGGGACCGGTACACGAAGGAGAGCCGCGGGTTCGCCTTCGTGCGGTTCCACGACAAGCGGGACGCGGAGGACGCGATGGACGCCATGGACGGCGCGCTGCTCGACGGACGGGAGCTCCGGGTCCAGATGGCCCGGTACGGCAGACCCCCTGACTCCCACTACGGTGGAGGAGGTGGAGGAGGAGGAGGAGGGCGACGCGGAGGAGGAGGACCGGCCAGGAGGCACGGCGGCCACGGGCGCCGGAGCAGGAGGTGAGAAGGAGCGGAGGAGTTGTGGTTAGTTAGATCCGAGCACGCAGTCTGCCGCCAGACTCCATTGAAGAATTTGCATATTCTGCGTGCACGTTGGCCCGCGCACTTTCTCCACACAACAAAGTAGTTTTTCTTTGAGTAAACCAACGATTTAACAATTCGGCACAGAACACTTTTCATTTTTACCAAATATTTAATGTTTATTAATGTTTGTAACATTTGAGCTGTGAGTTAAAAGCTTTCCTCATGTGAATGTGAACTGTAGCTGCTGATCCTCTGGTTCCCAACCTTTAACCTTTCTATCCATTTAAATCACTAAACGCACTAACTATGTCCCTCATTCTGTAGATATACAAGTTAACTTCCTCTGAAATGACCAGTAAAAGCTGCTTTAATCACCTTTAACTTACAAAACTTGAGTTTGTGTTTCTAGTTATCACATTACAGTGTGTGTATATTAGTTTCTAACACCCTTTTAAGTCCTTACGACCCCCCCCGTGTTGGGAACCACTGCTCTGTGTCTTTCTGTGTAATCTGTATCAGTGTGGCCCCATTCAGGGGGGCCACTGCGGATCAGGTTTTCCTCAGTTCTTGTCACGTGATAGATGATAACTCAACCCACTGAATGTATCCAGCTCTTCTCCCAGCCCGAGACACAGGCGTCGCAGCCGCTCCCGCAGCCGGAGCCGCTCCCGCTCCCGGAGCCGGTCCCGCTACAGCAAGTCCAGGTCCCGCTCCTACTCCCGCTCCAAGTCCCACTCCCCCAGGGAGAAGAAGGCCAAGGCCAAGTCCCCGTCCCGTTCCAGATCTCGATCCAGGTCCCGGTCCAGATCCAGAAGCCGCACCCCTTCCTCCAAAAGAGGGTCCCGCTCAAGATCCAAAAGCCCGCCGAAGCCTGCAGCAGAGAACGGAGGCGAGACCCCGTAGAGCTCAGCACGGCGGCAACAGGTGAGCAGACGACACACGTTATTCCTGCAGTGTGTCTGTTAAAGCCCCCCCCCCCTCCAGCAGGTACTGGTTTCACATCCAGACTAGTTGGCTCATAAAGAAAAAAAATACATAACTAAGAGAAAGTGTTTTTCTGAGGACAGTTTTCTGACGGTGAACCAAACTCTGGAATTCTCTCCTTCCCAAGCTGCGGCATCCCGTTGTGCTAAAGCGGAGTTTGAGCTGAGCAGAGGCAGTTTGAGCAGTTAGGTGTGAAGGTGAGCCGCCCGCAGGCCGCCGGCCGCCGGCCCGGCGGTGCAGCAGGGTGGAGGTGGAGGCAGGCAGTGTTCTGGGGGTTTGGTGTTGAGGTACGTCACCGGTACGTCCGGGCGCCGGCGCTCGAGGGGCGCCGAGGTTTGTCCCACTCTCCTCCCATGTCAGTCGCACTTTGTTCGGCTCCGTCTCTCTTCCTCACGTCTGTTACTGACATTTATTGAGGTAAACCGCAGGACGAGAAGGTACACTTAATGCTCTTACAGACCTTTTTCACAGCACGTTGCATGAGATAGTAGGGGACTAATTAAGGCCCCGTGTCCACTCGGACTCTGACAGAACCTGTGTTTACCCGACTGTTTCGTGTCAAACGGCTGCTGTGAAAAAGGTTATTCTTTGTGCAACATGTCAGCAAGAGTTCCTCAAACACTCAAACGTCTAACAGGAGGTCTTTAAACATCCGGAAGATCGAGACAAAACGAGATGTTCTCATTAAAGAAACACTCATTTATGGAGGTGAATATTCTCCCGTGGTTTGAGCTGTAAAAGCCTCATTTATTAGGAACAAAGTGGAGTTCACGTTAAACAGGATGTGTGTAAATAATGCAGACTCCACAATAACGAACAGGAAGGTGGAGTTTCTGTCTGAGAGGCAATAAATGTTTAAAATAAAGATTATGTCTATTTTGGACAAAATTGTGTTTTTTTTTTTTACATCGTCCAAAGTCTGATAGTTCACAGTATATAAATAAGAAAAGCAGCAGAGAAGCTGCAACCGGTTTAATGATGAATCATTATTGAAACAGGCCGTTTATATGTGACCACGAGGAGCAGAGCGCCACCCAGTGGAAGAAAGGTTTAATGAGCAGAGTGTCCTCACCTGTATCTCTAGCACCTCGTCTACAATCTCTCCACCTGTCGACCGTCTGAACACATTAAATTCACATTAACTAACGGCAGATATATAACAAAGTGCTGATCCACAATCTGTAGTTTCAGTTCCCCTTTTCCACAGATACTTTATGTAAAAAAAATCTATATCTAAAATAACACTTAGTTAAAGAGAACAATGTCTGTTTATACAGTTTTAAATAAAGTTGAATAAAAAACAACAACAAAATAATAAAATAAACAAATAATTAAACAAAAAGGCTAAAATAAGAATACATTTTACAGTGTAAAAAGAGATGGAATAAATGTTTTATACACTTTTATAGAAGTAATTATATTTTAGAAACCGAATAAACACATTTTAGTAAAATAAAGTCAAAATTAATCAGGTTAGAAGATTAAAAACATACAAATATTGATAGGAGAATTTGTCAGCGTGTAAAAAGAGCTTTTGTATTGTTATAGATGATGAATAATAACTTTCTATAGAACTAAATGTTAGATTAAACTGCTTCCTGTATGTCTGTTAATGTTTGAATCTTCAAACTAAACACAAAATGTTCAGAACTGATTTTAAATACAGGATCAATATCGGTCTGATTTTTAAATTGTTTGTGAAGCTCATCGACCAAACTAAAGTAAAATATTCTAACTTCCTGTGTTTTTTGACAGATTTCAGGTGACGTCAGAACTTCGAGCCCGAGACCGGATCCAACGCAAGCAACAGTGTCCCGCTGTGAAAGGTTATTATTGTGTCTTCCACGCTTTGGTTTCTTTTTATTCATTCAGCCACAAAAAAAGGGCTTTTTTTTTTTTTTTTGTTCATTTCATCGATGTGCTGTGATTTTATTTCTTCTTCATAACATGTTTTATGATTTTAATAATCCAGTTCGACGTGGAGAGGGTTTTCTGTTCGGAGTTGTTGATGATATGTTTGTACTCTTTAAGTTGTCCTTTTTTACGGCCTGTGTCAGAAAGCGAGCGCTCAGTCCGGCTGGCTTTGACCCTCCAGTTCGTTTTACATGAAGCATCTTTTCTCTTTGGATTTCTGACAGAAAGCAGATTATTCTAACGTGAGAACAGCCGAAGCATTACTGTCGTTCACCGAGCTCTCGCTTCATGATGAATTTAATACTTTTTGTCCACGTCGAGAACCCGTTGAATTGTTTTCTTGGTGAAAGTCTCCGTTAGCTGGCTGACTCTCTTTCTGATGCAGGCCGAGGTGTCACAGTCAGGACGGGGTGGGCGATCTGTTTAACCTGAACTACGACCGTATGTCCTCCGTTTTGAGCCACGTTTAAAATAAACCCGAAGTCCTCCAGACTATTGCTTTAAAGCTGCAGTAGAAACATTTAACGAAAATCATAAAACGGCACTTTTTCAAGTACATCTAGATGGTTTGTTGACGGAGAGCGCATCCACCGGTCGGCCCCTCCACGAAGTTAAGATCACAATAATTAACTCTCATTCAACCAAATCAGTCAGTCGCCACAAATTCGACCAATCGTAGTCGTTCTTCAAGCGAGCTTCACCACTGTAGAGCGAAAAAACAGGCTTCCCGCACATTTCCCAGCCATAGATTCATCTGGAATTTAAGTTTGGAAACGAGCAAAAAATCCTGGAAATGAGTTCTGTTGTCCTGTAAAACTCTGATTAGTATTCGAGCTCCTCGCTCAGACCGCCGACGTAAACCTGGCTGCAGATTTAGTTTGAGACTTTACTGAATTAAAACGCCTAAAAACATCAAACTGCTGTTTAAAATCCGACACTTCCTGGATGGATTACCTAATAATTAACGAGGTTACGTGGAGTTTGATAACGGGAGTAAAAGGACGTTAAATTCCACTCTTTGTATAATTCGAGGACTCTTCAGATCTGAAACTAGCTCGCCCCCCCCCCCCCCCCACTAAAAGCCATTTACTGCTGTTTTATTTC